CACAGGCATTCCTTACTGCCCTTAACTCGAGGAGATTGATATGTAAGTGTGTCTCGTTTGGGGACCATCTGCCTTGAACTTCGTGGCCGTTCATATGTGCCCCCCAGCCTAGCAGGGAAGCATCTGTGGTGATTTGGATAGTGGGTTCGGTTTGTTGGAACGGAACCCCTGTCAAGAGATTGCTTGGCACTGTCCACCATCGTAAGGATCCCAGCACGTCTGGTGGGATAGTAACCGTTTTGTTTCGAGGGTGCCGTGATGGGATATAAACGGTTGCCATCCAGAGTTGAAGACATCGAAAGTGCAGGCGAGCATGGTGGACTACATAGGTGGTGGAAGCCATGTGGCCCATTAGTCTGAGGCATGTAAGTACTGTGGTGGTAGGAACTGTAAGCATCCCATTTATAATTTCTTGCATAGTTGCAAAACGTTGTTGAGGTAGGTATGCCCGGGCTGTCACTGAGTCCAGGCGTGCACCAATGAACTCTATGTCTTGAACTGGATACAGCGTTGACTTGTCTTGGTTGATTAGAAGGCCTAGACGACTGAGGAGGGTCGTGGTCGTCTGTATCATAGAGGCTGTTTCGGCGTACGAGGATCCCTTTAGGAGGCAGTCGTCTAGATAGGGAAATATGATGACGTTTTGTCGTCTGAGATATGCCGTCGCGACAGCCAGTACCTTCGAAAATACTCTCGGGGCTGATGAGAGGCCGAAGGGGAGAACCCTGTACTGGAAGTGGTCTGGTCCCAACATGAAGCGCAGGTAACGTCTGTGGGAGGGGTGGATGGTTATATGGAAATAGGCATCTTGGAGGTCGAGGGCTGCAAACCAGTCCCCTTGATCTAGCGCAGGAATGATTGTGGAGAGTGTGACCATCTTGAAATGTTGTTTCTTGAGAAATTTGTTCAGTTTGCGGAGGTCCAATATAGGTCTCCAGCCCCCTGTTCGTTTTTCGGTTAAGAAATAGCTCGAGTAAAACCCTCTCCCGTGGAACTCTCGGGGTACCCTTTCTACTGCTCCGATGAGGAGGAGTCGATCGATTTCTTGTTTCAGAAGGGTCTCGTGAGAGTGGTCCCTGAAGAGGGACGGGATAGGGGGAAGGGTAGGGGGGATAGAGGTGAAAGGGATGGTGTAGCCCACTCGAATGATTTCCAAAACCCAGCGGTCCGATGTTATGGACTCCCATTGAGGAAGGAATGGGCGCAAACGATGGGTGAACAGATGGCCATGTTGGGGTAGTGCTAGATCGTAAGCAGGGTGTCGCAGGCCCTCGACCAAATCTTCAAATTTGCTGTTTAGATGGTTGGGTAGTTGGTGGGCGGGCCTGGTTGTGGCGTCTTCTGGGACCTCGTTGCCTTGGTCTAGTGTCTTCATAGGGCCTCTGTGATCTATTATATTGCCCATATCGGTATCGGTTGTATGAGTTATATGGGGTGTATCGTCCGCGTCTATAGGGCTGCGTGCACATGCCCAACGTGCGGAGTGTAGACTTGGAATTTTTGCTGTTATGGAGTATTTCATCCGTAGTGGCTGCAAATAGTTTGTGCTTGTCGAATGGCAGATCCTCTACTTTAGGCTGGAGATCGCGGGGAACTCCTGATGACTGGAGCCAAGAGGTTCTACGCATGACTACCGCTGTAGCTGTAATTCGGGCTGCGGTGTCAGCAACATCCATTGCGGTTTGAAGAGCAGTGCGGGCGATCATATGGCCCTCATGAACTATTGTTTTCAGGATGGATCTTTTAGACTCGGGGAGATGTGGTATCAGCTCTCCCAGTTTTGAGTAATTGTCAAAGTCATGATTTGCTAAAAGAGCAGAGTAGTTCGATATTCTGAGTTGTAAGGTGGAAGAGGAGTATACCTTCTTGCCAAAGGAGTCCAGCTTTTTGTGGTCCTTGTCTGCGTTGCCCAACTTGTATTGTGGGATCTTTGCACGTTGTTGCGCTGAATCCACTACTAACGAGTTGGGTTGTGGGTGTGTGAAAAGAAAGTCGTTGTCTTTTGATGGGACAAAGTACTTCCTATCGATCCTTTTATTCGTTGGTTGAATGGATGCAGGTGTTTTCCAGAGGTCTTCCGAGGTCTCCATTATTGCCTCGTCTATAGGGAGGGCAATCTTGCTATGTAATGTGGGATGGAGATTCTTTAGCAGTTGGTATTGTTTCCTCTGGACCTCCTGCAGGGAAACATTCTGGCTTATTGCAACCCTCTTGAATAGATCTTGGAATTGTTTTAGGTCGTCAATTGGTGCAGAATCTGATGGAACTACGGCTTCATCTGATTGTATATCGGGAGCATCAGAATGTGTGACGTTTATTGAGTGAGTGTCTGATTCATTGTCAGAGATTCGGTCCACCTCCTCATCCGAAAGAGTTGCTGGAGGTAGGGACTGCGGCCGAGATAAGCTTCTCCGGGATGGAGTGGAGTGAATTGGGGAGCATTGTCCACGTGATTCCCAGTGTTCCCAGGGTCCCCATTGCGGATAAGGTGGGGGTGGGTAAGGCCAGTACGGGTGCCATGGGTTCTGTTGTGGTGGGGCTCCGTAGTCATAAAAGCGAGATTGCCTAGGTGATGGGTGCCTCGAGGAATAAGATGTGTGGTGATCATCCTCAAGAAGGGGAGCGTCTCGGCCGGATAAGATTGGTGTAGACCTGGGAGGGGATAGCCGTGATAGGGACTTCCCAGGTGAGTAGGATGTGGAAGGCAGACACTGAGCAGAAAGACTGCTGTGTGAGAGAGCTTCTTGCTGGCTCTGCTCCATAGCAGTGTCGTCTGGCTGCCTGTCAGTTTGCCCTGGCAGCGTTAGTGCAGCATCCTGCTGCTTATCTGGAGGTGGTGCCGGGCGTTTGGGCTGTGGGTCACTCTGCTGCGGTGCCGTGGTTTTAGTCGGCACCGTAGCTTTAAGGATCGCTGTGGCTTTCGGCGCCACGGAAGGCTGTGCAGTTGAAAGCGGTGCCGCTGTTTGAAGCGGCACCGCGGTTTGCTTCGGCGCCGGCTTTTCTTGCCGTGCCGGCTGTTTTGAACGCTCCCGGGGCCGCTCAGCAGTGGCGTGCCCCGATGCCGGCGCGGAGTGGGAGGATCGCCCCGAAGCCTTTGTGGCGGGCGTCCTCCCGGTCTGGTGTGCCTCTACTCCATGTTTAGGAGAGGAGGAGGCTGATAAGGAGCGGGATGGTGAGGCTCTACCCCTCAGCTCGGTTCTGGAGAGAGGGGAGGCTCTTGGCGCGTTCCCAGCTGTTCTGCGGACTGCAAGGCTTTTTCGAATAGGATCATTCTTAGGCGGAGCTCACGGTCTTTCCTGGCTCTCGCCGTGAGGGAATTACAATGAGTGCAGCTGTGGGGAGAGTGAGATTCCCCCAAACAGCGAATGCATTTTGAATGACCATCCGAAGCCGGCATAGGGTCCCGGCATTGGTCGCACTTCTTAAAGCCTGAGGAGGCGGACATGTCCGGTTCTCTCCTCTTTAAGCTTTTTTTTTTTTTTGTTTTTATTTTAGTGTTCCTGCTGTAGTCGTCAGTCCGTGTTGGTCTTTTTTTTTTTTTTTTTTTTAAATTTGTTTTTTCTTCTCTGTGTTAAAGAGCTGTGAAAACTCCGGTATCTCTGAGACCCGGTCTGAGGTGATTCAAGCCCCCCCGAGGGGGGAGGGGGGGGTTGGGTAAGTGTATTTCCCTTATTACTAAAAATTCTTTTTCTTCTTTTAAAAAGAAACAGGGAAGGTAACTTGGATATCAGGGGAAAGAACTATAACTAAACTAGGGAGAAAAAAGGTAGTCAGAGAGTCTGACAGGGAGCTCCTGTTTGCTCCGTCCACAGGCGAGGGCGGTTGAAGAGGAACTGAAAGGGAGGGGGATGAGTCACACTCCTCAGGAGGCGGCAAGGGCTCGAGACGCCTCCTGGGCATGCGTGACTCAACAGGGGAAACTGCTATAGAAAGCTCTGATCTGAGGCTCAGGGCGACCCTTCACCTACAGTGGAGCACCCACGGGGACACTACTCGAAGAAGAACATGACATGGCTGAGGTGTGCGAAATTTTAGCCCGGCTCTTTCTTTTCCCCACTCCAGGAGATCAGGGGAACTCCTTATCCATATGGTGTCCTGATGAAAGGGCAGAAAGATGCAGAGGCCACATATTGAGTAATGAAATTAGTGGAGGGAACCCAGACAGCTGTTTGCTCCAAGAGGTCCCAGTGGACCTTGAACTACTATGGCCCTTGCTTTGATGGCAATGATAGCCCAGTCTTAGATTAAAAGATCCATGGTGCTGTTATATTAGCACGATGAAGCTAAAAAGAAATGGTGATTTTCAAGTTTATATTTAAGTCAAACTTGAAAGAATTTCATTGGACAAAGGAAAAAAAGGGCTAGAGCCACTTTCTTCCTGATGAGTTTCAAAGGCCTGCTGCAAGTAGCTTAGGGAGATGTTATAACGTCTCAAAACAGATTGCAAGACTCTTATAACAAAGGATTAGATCATTTACATCCAGAAGTGGCTGGCAGGTCACCCTCTAATGAGACTTGTAAAAAGAAAGCTCTTCCAAGTGGAGGCAAGGTGGGGAGGGAGGGAGGATTGTGGTTATGTTTTTCGTGGGGGAGGGGGGGAGGAGGAGGATTTGTTAAGCTGCTTGCCTACTGAATCTATATTGAAAAAGACCAAAGGATTTTTTTAAAATGCAAGTCACTGTTCTGGTTTCTCATACTGGAGAGATTTCCAGAATTTGGATTTATTAGAGGTCTTTTTAAATTTATTTTTAACCTTAAAACTAAATACATCAATTTTCCTTCTTTGCTTAGTATAAGCTGTAAATAAATTCAGTATTTGAGGAACTATTTTGAAATGCTGGAAATGGCTGTGACAACAAGACAAGTACTAGAAATATACTATTTGTATAAAACAGTTTTCAACTAGGGATCTGTAGACTTTGTCTGAAATTTCCAAAGGGGTCCACATCTCCATATGAAATATTTAGTGGTCCATAACTGAAAGAAAGGTTGAAACCCAATGCTATACAAGCACTGTTATTTATTCAAGGTTTTCCTCTAATCTTCAATTTACAAATATTCATATCTGAAATGCACAAATAAGCAATTGGAGTAACCAGTGAACAATCCTCTCATTGCAAAAATATTTTCATCTCAGGTCATGACTACAAAGCAACTGTAGAAACAAGTTTTCTTCACACCAAGTAAAATTCTGGTTAAAAGTAAAAAAAGGTCTCCTTGCTAGTATATTTAAAAATATACCACCTATATAATGGCCATTTGTTTTTCTGGGCTCTAAACTCTGAATATACTAATAGTAATTTAAATGAAAGCACTCGAGGCTTTACACTAATCCAATCTGCTGAAGACTTGGTCTCACCTGCATCAGTTACAACACTGCAAGGCCAAATATAGCAGGGATAGTTGAGATTGTAATGTAATACAGATTTAGAAATTTCAGAAGCAGGCAAAGCAAAATTATACTGTTACGAATATTCCAGTGTACTCTCAGTATAAAACAAAAATCACACTATGCTAAAAATAATCTAGGCCACAATAGATTCAAAGTAATCTCTCTTTCCTGTAAAATGATCAAAACACATTTTAAAATTCTCACTGGAGTAACAGCACTCTGATTGTTTACAACAAAAATTAACTCTTCATGCCACATTTGCAATTATGATCTTGAATAAAGTCAAAGACAATATACAGTTAAAGTACTGTAACTTTATACCAATCCCAATATTTAATTTTAAAAATACACTGTCAAAACAACATTGAAACTACAGGTTGTTCCTCCCCTAACTGGGAATCTCTGGTCCAGTGAATATTCTTGGACCACAGAGCCCAAGTATAAGGAGGTCAAGCTGCAGGGCAGAAGCGGGGGGAGGGGCGGCAACTAAACCAGGAGCTGAGGGAGAGGTAGGCAGTGCAGCCAGGAGGTCTGGCCCTGGCAGCCACGGAGCTCCAGCCTGGAAAGCCATGGCCAGATAGGTAGCAGTTGGGTTGGAGTCCTAGTCCGGGGCAGCATGAACCATGCTGGGAGGGACTACCCCTCATTTGGCAAATCTCCTTGTTCAGGACCATTTTGGTCCCCAGGGTGCCATACAAGGGAGGTACAACCTGTACAGGCTCTTAAAATATTACCCTCTACCGCCATTTTAAATTTAAATACTGGCCATTTCAACTATTTGCTTTTAAAAACAGTATTTTCTATTCCCATATTTAGTATAGAAGTGACTGCTCTTACGACTTCTTTATCAACTCAGAAAGGATGAAGAACATTTTTATTGTTTGGACATAGCCAGACTTTTGATATTAAAGTCAGTTTTGATGATTACTTCTTATTTGTATTACTGCAATAATTGACCCCATTGTGCTAGTGCTGTTCAGACATAAAGCACAGTGGTGCAGTTTTTGCCTGCAAAATGTGTATGTCAAAGTATAAATTTCTCTTTATGTAAGAGAAGGAGCTAAAATACTGAGGTAAGTTCCAAAGTGAAAAAAATGGAATCACGTATTTCACCTGCTTCCAGAGAGCTGTTCCCACCACTTTCACTTATGTGTACACATAAAATTCAGGATTCCACTTAGGGATGTTAAAACAGTTAACCAGTTAAATACTAGCATTTATCCAGTTAAACACTAAACTCAGAGCCTGCCACCCAATCTGCTGGGGTTGTGGGGTCCTGCTGCCTAGCCTGCCACCCCCTCTGTAGCCAGGGCTGCTCCAGGTACAGGCTGGTTAGCTGGTAAGCATACCAAGTGTTTAACATCCCTAATTCCACCACAGTTTCCAATATGTCTTTGTCGTGATATTTTAACATAAATATTTGGTATATAATAATTGAGAACTTCTATTTATTTTTATTCAAAGACCCCACAGAAAACTTTCAAAGGACAGATTTTTAAGACAACTCAACTTTTGTAACTCAAAAGAGTATGACATCATTAGATATCAAACACACTTTTCTCCTTTGAATATGAACTGTGTATTTGAAAACAAAGTTGTTTGATCAACTTGAGGCTGAATGCAATTTTTCTCTTAAGTTGTCTTCTTTGGATTAATAAACTTTAAAGAGTACATTCTCCCATCTTGAAGCAAGAAAATCTGACATGTATAAAGCCATTCCAGCACTGAACTATGTCCAAGTAAAAAAAACCCTCAAAATACAAGAAATCTATTGGGATTTATTCCACTTTTAAGGAAGCAGCTATCTTCAAATATGCAACTGGAATTGACAAAAATTCACAGACTCGAATGTACTGGTGATAATGTCCATTTTATGTATAGATGTTGTTACAAATTTCATTGGTTGCCACTAATTTCTTCAGAATCTCTGCGCTTTTGGAGACATCCTAGTAAAACAAAGAAATAAGTCATCACTAGTAGTATATAAAACCATTAAATCATACTTTCTCGTACTCATTCAAAGCATTCAGTGAACAGCAAAATGATTAAAATGTTAACTATAAAACAAGGTATCGAGAGAACTAGTGAAAGCTTCAAAGGAACATCCAGTTTAATCTCACATTCGGACTTATTAACCTGTATTCCTCCTTCCTTAAATAGTCACACCCATAAATAGGAAGGGTGGTTTGAGATGTGTTGCTCATGTCCATTCCATCTTAGTTGCATGCATGTAATAGAAGTTATTCCCATTGTAATATAGGGGACTGGATCTGGCGCCCCCTGGAGCAGCACCCATATGGCATGGAATAAGAAACACTGCCAGCTCCACACCCTCTGTTCCTTCTTACCAGAAACTCAGACAGTGGAAAAGGAGGGCGGATAATCGAATGGACACATGCAACACATCTCGAAGAACACTAATTACAGAAAATGTAGCTGTCTTTTCTTTGAGTGCTTGCTCATGTGCAGGGCTTGACAAACCGCAGCGAAATCTACTCACCAGCCCCACATGATAAATAGGTAAGGGGACAAAGGGGCAGATCCATGAGCCCGGAGAGAACCAGATTGAGGTCGCATTATAGAACAGGATCCCTAATGGCAGTGAAGAGCCTTTCAAGGCCCTTCAGAAGGTGACTGACATCTTGTGGGAGAGAACACAGATTTGCCCTTGATTGGCAGATGAAAAGCCAAAATGGCAACTAGATGAACCTTGTTAGAACATAGGACCAGACCCAGATTCTTCCGAAGGAGCAGGTATTCCAAGATGGACTGCAGAGAAGAATTTGTTGGCGAGATACTGTGCTTAGACCCCCATTGGGACAACCTCGCCTACTTCACCAGGTAAGTCACTCTAACAGAAGATTTTGTACTTTCCAAGAGGACCATCTGCACCTTCATGGAGGAAGCTTGCTCCTCTTGATTCAGCCATGCACTCAGCAGCCAGACCAACGTGCTGAACCTATGCTACGACAATCATTGTGACTCAAACTTTGCCCTTTTTGATATTTGACAGACTCTCTGCCAATCTCGCTCATCATGAAACACATCAGATCCCCTGATCAGTTCAGAAGAAAGTCAGAGAGCACCGTTGTCCAGGTCCTGCAGAGCACAAAATCTATTTGTAGAGTTCCCCACTTTAGAAAACTGTCCAGGTCACTTCAGAGTGGAGTGAGAAAAGACAGATCTGCTTAGGCCCTCTGCCAGTGTGTCCCTGATCCCTGGAAGGAAGACCACGCAGGCTAGGCGCAACACCCTGAGCTCCTTGACTTTTATATGCAACATCTCCTCCTCTGTGGACCAACTTGTGTTTGCATCATGCCAAGGTGTGCTCCCCTGCCAAGGTCCAAGGCATCAGATATAAGTAACACCGAAGCTCATGCACTGTTGAATAGGACTCCATCAAGAGTGGTCTTGGGGTCCATCAACCACTACGAAGTGCTGAGTATTCTGGGGGAGGATGGTGACAACTTTGTCCAAATAATCCCTGCACAGGGCATAGACCACAAGCAAACACTGCTTAAAAGGGTCGTATCTGAAGCCTCTCATGATTAAAAACTTATGCACACTGCCATGTGATCTAGCAGCCATAGGCACAGGATGGCCATCGTAAGGAGAAATGCAGAGTCCAGCAATGAAGTCCTTGTCTGGAATCGGTAGTGCAGAAGAAATGCCCTTGCCTTGATGGAGTTGCGGACCACACCGACAGACTATCCATTATACAAGGACTGACACTGATTTTTCTTTATCAACAGAGCAGGACATCAGTAGATGGCCATTAGCATCACAATGGCGTTTTGGACGTGCAACCTGGAGTGACACTAGACCACCAGTCATTGAAATGCAATTAAATCATGATACATTGAGGCCTGAGGTAAGTTGCCACTACCAACATGATTTTTGAAACACCTTTGCGTTCTATTGCCAGGTGTACCATGAATTGGCAGTTCATGGACCTCACTGTGAAACAGAGTAATCATCTGTGCCCTGGAAAGATCCCTATATGAAAGTACACATCCTTCAAGTCGGCCACAGGATACCAATCTCCTGGATCCAGGGAGAGAATGACAGATGAGACTACGAGGAACTTCAATTTCTTGAGATATTCACTGAGGTCTCTCAGTTTGAGGATGGGCCTTTGGCCCCCTTTGGCATTTGAGATTAAAAAGTAATGGCAGTAAAAGCCCTTGTCCCTGAAGTCTGGAGAGGGAAGCTTTTTCCAGAGCCCCCATCTGCAGCAGGCCCTGCATTTCCTGTTGCAGTAGACTTATAAGAGGGATCCCTGAAAAGGAACAGGGTGAATAGGATTGGGGAGAAAACAAATTGGAGCATATAGCCTTGCATCACCATTCTGAGGACCCAGCAATCTGACATTATAGATGCCTGGGCTGGGAGGAAAAAAGAAAGGCATTTGGAGAATAGGAGGGGACAGGATCCAGGACGGTGGTGGGAATGTGGCCTTCAGGCGCACATTCAAAATACCCACTGACCCTTCTTGGGTGCAGGCAGAGCCAGCCTGTGTGAAGGTCGAGGTTTGATGGCTTTGACAGTCTCCTATTGACAAAGCAAAGGCCGTTCTCCCTGCTCCCAAGGATAAGTTTTGTTGGCAAAAGTGCAGATAAACAGTGTTTATAATGCTCAACTTACTGCGTTGTTTAAAACTATACAAACAAAGCCGAAGTATTATTAGTTTACAATCTTAGATATTTCAATACTACAGTGATGTAGGCCAAAGAGAACTTTCCACTAATATTGAAAAAAATAAAGCTTTACCTTGACTAAATTTCTCAGGTTCTTAGAGGAAAGCACAGGCTTGAATGCTTCAATTGTAACAGCGTCCAGTTTGATGACATCCGTGTAACACTGATACAACACTGCAGGAATCTGCCATACTTGACAATAACTCAAAACTAAATATAACCAAAAAGAAAAGACTATCATCAGAGTGAAATAATCTAATCCACACTGCATAACATCTCTTTCAATTTAAGTAATACAGGCAGTCCCCGGGTTACGTACAAGATAGGGACTGTAGGTTTGTTCTTAAGTTGAATTTGTATGTAAGTCGGAACTGGTACATATTGTAGGGGAAACTCTAGCCAAACATTTCTCCAGAGCTCAGTTTTATTCTCCCACACCTCCCTTCCCTCAGTCCTTTATTCTCAAGCTGAGGTGTCTGTTGAGAAAAGCCGCTCCGCGTCTCCCTGGTCTGCTGGGGGGGGGGGGGGGGGGCGCAGCTAGTGCGGGGTTGCCTCACCCCGTTTGTAAGTAGGGATCCGATGTAAGTCGGATCCATGTAACCCGGGGACTGCCTGTATACCATTTTGCTATGGGTTTAAATCTGTGACTATTTTGACTAATAGCTATTAAGAGCCCTATCCTTCTAGAATTTATCTTAAATATTAACAGATTTATTAGGATTTAAGCTTTTGTAGATAAAACCCACTTCTTCAGATGAATTGAGGTGGAAGTTACAGAAACAGGAGCACATACAAAGAAGCTGCTTGTGTAAATAAAGCTAATAAAGTGAGGCTGGAAGTGGGTCATTCATAGCATTAGATCTGGAGATGTGATTATATTTAGAGAGTGGAAATTGACTTTGCAATGCATTAACCAGTTGAGATCCTTATTCAATTCTAAATTGACAGAGTTGAATTTGCAAATGAATTCTAGTTCCGTTATCTCCTGTTGTAACTGGTTTTTAAAAATTTTTTGTAGAAAGCTTACTTTCAAATCCATTACTGAATGTCCAGGGAGGTTAAAATGCTCCCCTACAGGCTTATGTGTGTTATCATTCCTGATGTCTGATTTGTGTTAGGGATGTTAACTAGAGATTAATTTACTAGTTGAGTAGTCCGACCTGGACTCCCTAGTATTTTTGCCTCCTGTCCGGTAAAAAAAAAAATTCAGAAAATCCTGGACACTGAAAATGGCCGAAACTTTCGGATTTTTTTCCCCAGCCAGGAGGCGAAAATCCCGGGTGCTTACGGGGTTCCACAGGGGAGCTGTCCAGCTCGGAGCAGGGAGGCAAGATGGCGGCCAGCAGCTGGCAGACTGTTCGGGCCAAAAAGCCTCAAAAGCGTTTCTTAAAGGGGCCACGCTTTTTTTTTTTGGCGCTCAACCAACATTTTCCTGGGGGCTGCACTGGGAAAAAGGTTGCGCACCACTAGTAGTCAATGTAATTTCTTCATAGGCACTTCCACATTCCACCTTTGAAATCTACAAGAGCCCCAACGGGATGAGGGATCATTTTCCAGGATTAGATGTAGATTGTCAATGATGGCCTGGAAGAGTTTTAGTTGGAGGCTGTAGGTGATAACCAATGTGTTCTGTTATTTACCTTGTTGAGCCTGTCCTGAAGCAGGTGACTTCTGGGTACTCATCTGACTGTCAATCTCTTTCTTCACTTCCCCAGGTGAGTATTTAAGTTTTAAGAAGGCTAATATGAAGTCAGTTTTACCAGTAAAAGTTTATGTTCTAATTAATCTGTTAGGGTACAACTACACTGCACGGTTATTTCAGGATACCGGAGGTATCCAAAAAGATCTATCCCATGTCTACACAGGCCGCCCATTATTTTGAAATATTTTTTTGAAACAAAGGGCACGCTATTTTATCATCCTGGTAAACAATAGTCTATGAGCGTTAAGAGTTGGCTCTAAAGAGTGCGTTATTTTGAAATTTGGGCTGTGTAGACATGCCAAATTTCAAAATAGCCTATTTCAAAACAGATTTGAAATAAGATACATAAATTGCATAGTGCATAGTATCTTATTTCGAGTTTAGGGTGCTGTGTAGACACACCCTCAGTCTTTGAAGTGCCACAGGACTCCTCGTTGTTTCTGCAGATACAGACTAACATGGCCACCCCGAGACTGCATTGGGTGAAGTACTTCCTTATGCCTGTTAATTTCATTAGGTAACTCCGGGCTCAATATATACTGCATAACATAATATTTTACAGTATAAGCTGTTAATTACATAACAGCTGTTTTACATACTGATATGTAAGATGCCAAAATGTTGTGAATTAATTTTCATAATGTCATCTTCCCAACTCATCACTTATATACACAGGATTAATTTAAAATTAGGATAATCAGTTAAACATGATGCTGTTCTAAATTAACATTCACCATTAAGTGTCAATAGTTAGTAACAGACACATGACGACCTTGCAATGCCACAAGAAAATAAATGAATAAATATAAGAATATAAATGAAGTTGCATAATACCAGCAGCAGGTAGATCCTTTATAATATTTGGCTGTTCCAGCAGTGGACAACAGACTGTCTCTTTGTATTCTTTTGTCTTTAAAGCTTTCAGAAAAGGAGAAGGGAGCGTTAAAGTGGATTCAGGAGTTTTATAATCAGTTACAGGACATGTTGAAAGAATGGTTACTTGCAGGTCCTTTTCCCGCATACAGCCAAAAACCTGGAATAAAAATATTAATTCAACATAAGTGAGGTTTATGCTACTAAAAGAATGGAGTACAATTACAGAAATGTGGGTTCGTTTTAGTTTAGATGGCAAGTAGTTGCTCACATTTACAAAGTTCTCCCACACTCTCAAAAACAGGGATTACTGTGTTAATTTCCAACAACATATAAAACAGTAGCTAATAATTATACATCTGTTAAGTTTCCTGACTTGCTCTGTAGGCTTCTGGTTTTTAAACCCTCCTACAGATCAGCAGAGAAACCTGAACAGTTATTTTTTATACCATATGAAATCAAAATGATTGTATAAATTAAGAAACAGACTTTAGATTACATTTCAGGTAATATCTAGTCACTAGATGTGTTGTTATACCTAATTCTAATAAAATGCTTGGCTCCCACCCCGCCCCGTTGTCTCCACATTTTTATATTGTTCATTTCTTATGTATTTGAAGTTAAAATTTGCTGAGAACTTCTAGGGGCAGTCTGGAAATGTTTAAGGTTGTACCTTGAAGTCAAAATAAACGATGTTGCAGAAAAAAAAATAGGAATGCATTTTTGGATATCTGACTCTTCCTCATACACCACTTTCAGATGTTACTTCTTTCTACTCTAAGATCAATACAGACTTACTAAAAATGGTTTCATTTTCTATGTTGCCACTGTATGGTTATTTCAGAATACTGGAGGTATCCAAAAGAGCTACCCCATGTCTATACAAGCTGCCCATTATTTTGAAATATTTTTCAAAATAATGGACACACTATTTTGCCATCCCAGAGATTAAGTCATTTTTGGATATGAAGGGTGTCAACACACCAAGCTTTCATACTGAGGCTGGTTGCTCAGGTTTTACTATCTTGTTGACATTACTGGTCATTTGAATGAGTTGAACCTTAAGCTACAAGTGCAAGGAAATACAACACTGAATCTGCAGCAGGCAGTGTTTGGATTTGAGCCAAAATTGACTGTCTTCAAAGATATCAAGATGGACAGACTAGCACATTTGAAAGAGTACAAATGTTTCATGATTCATATTAGAGCGAGAATCCAAATAACAGCCTTGATTTGCAGCAGCTTGCCGGTTTGTTTCTGAGCTCCTGACAGCATTCAAATCTTGTTTTGTTGACTTTTGGAAACACAGTGCTCTGTTTATGATTTATCCACATAAAGCATTAGTTGAACTGGATTTGACAGTCATTCCAAGCATCCCAGTCAGCAATTTGGAAATGGAAATTGCGGATTTCAAGGAGTCGGATGTCTGGGTGGAAAAATTCGTCAAGCTGAATTCTGATTTAGAATGCCTTGCTTAAAACGTGCAGAATTGGTAAAATTGCACAAATGGGCTGACATGAAGACACTGGAGCACAATGATCATCTGATTCTGCAAACTCGGAAAGAACTTCCTGTCACATACAACACCATGTAGAATGCCAGATTGGCCTTACTTTCAATGTTTGGCTCCACTTATATGTGTGAGCAGGCTTTCTCGATAGCCTGAATTTGCAAGAAGCTGAATTTGACCAGTTCTGATGTAAAATTCAAAAAAGTGTGTGAAAAGATGCAGCAGAAATCCCATTAAGTAGTCTGTTAGAACGTTTCATGTATGCTATTATTAATCATCATGTCAATTATCAGTAATATTAAGTTGCATATTTTCAGTCATGCAAATGGATATTCTTATACCGACTTCCTGTTGACCACTTGTTCTGAATTTTGATGTAGTATGGCTCTGGTTTGAAAAGGTTCCTGACCGCTGGCCTAATGGAACAGAACACTTGTTACATTATTAATACTGAAATTGCTGATCCTCTGCCCTATCTGTTGCACAAGAGCTCAGAACAAGTCTCCTAGAACACCTTAAATCAGGAAAGACAAGGCATAACATTGTTTTTTTTCCTCACCTGAGAAATATCATACATCTCCAGGCCCTATTTATATATTTTAAAGGGAATATATATTCAATATTCAATTTTTAAAATCTCTTTGCAGATCGCTTATAAACACATTTTATTCTCCTTTCTGTCTCACTGAAACAGCTACAAACTCTTTACACAAGTAATGTGTGTATTGGTGCCAACTCCTAAGATTTGCAACATATGGTATTTCTGTTAGTAGTCTAGTTCCTGAAGTCAAATGATTGTGAATCTGCACTTATAAATAAATGAATGTAACCTGCAAGGTTGCAGGGAAAAAATATAATGAAAAATGATATGAGGGTGCCCTAAAGGCTCAAAAACTGGAAGGCAAACAAAAAGAAGAGAGAGTTACTCACCCTGTGCAGTAATGTCTGTTCTTCGAGATGTGTGTCCCCATGAGTGCTCCACTCGAGGTGCTAGGCTCATCCCGGCGCCGCAAACGGAGAATCTTTCTTAGCAGTAGCCCTGCCGGCCCGTGCATGCGCTCCTGCTGTCTTGCGCCGTTCCAGCTGAGCACGGGCCGGCTTGACAGTTTCCTCCCAACCGGAAGCATCTGGAAGATAAAATAGAAACTCCGAAGCAGGGCGGGTCGTGGAGTACCCACGGGGACACACATCTCGAAGAACAGACGTTACTGCACAGGGTGAGTAACTCTCTCTTCTTCATCGAGTAGTGTCCCCAAGGGTGCTCCACTCGAGGTGGGTACACAGCAGTGGTCCAATGGTATCGGTGTGCTTCGGACTTATGGCATCTGCGCTGTGGCCAAAACAGCTAGCACCACCACTGAATCGTTCTTTAATACTTTCGCCAGGGCATAGTGTCTGGCAAATGTAAGAGCAGATGATCAAGTTGCTGCACGGCATATGTCCTGCAAGGGCACACCTCTAAGGTAAGCAATGGATGCGGCCATTCCTCTAGTGGAGTGAGCGTGAAGCCGTCCCGGTAAAGGTTTATGCCGTAGGGCATAACAACGTGTGATGCAAGAAGTGATTAAATTGGAAATATATTGTGCGGAGTGCTGTTGACCTTTCGAACACTCGTCCATAGCTATAAAAAGACGCCGAGACTTCCTGAAAGCACGTGTTCTCTCCAGGTAGAAGGCCAGCGCTCGTCTGACATTGAGCGTATGTAAATGTGAATCTTCTGGTGAAGAGCGAGGTTTTGGATAGAATGTTGGCAGACTTATTGGCTCATTTATATGGAAAGGAGAGTTCACCTTCGGGAGGAAGGTAGGATGGACACGAAGCCGCACCCCCTGCTCAGAAAATAACGTGCATGGCCAAAAGAGCTGCCAATTCACTAACTCGGCGAGCTGATGTAATTGCCAGAAGGAATGACACTTTCATCGTGAGCATGCGCAAGTCACAAGTTGCTAACGGCTCAAAGGGGGGACGAGTTAATGTGTCCAGTACTAAGGCCAAGTCCCACGGCTCTGGTGGAATTGTGTAGGTCGGGTACAGGTTCCTAAGCCCCTTTAGGAATCTTTCAGTAAGCAGATGAGCAAACAGTGAATGGCCATTGATCAGAAGACGGAAGGCCGAGATTGCTGCCAGGTGAACTTTCAGCGAAGCATTTGCCAACCCCCCCATCTTTAGGTGAAGGATGTAGTCCAGAACTTGCTGCACCAGCAAAGAGAGAGGGTCAAGATTCCTCTCCACACACCACGATTGGAACCGATACCACTTGTAGAGGTAGGTTTGGCGAGTGGTCCGGCGTCTGTTGTTTATCAGCATGTCTCTCTGCCTGAGAGCAGGTCATTTCTGGCAGTTGGAGCCAGTTAGGAGCCACACCGTGAGGTGCATGCAATCGATGCTCGGATGCACCATTGTACCGTGCTTTTGAGAGAGCAAATTGGACAGCAGTGGTAGTAGTCGTGGCTGAGCGACCGACATTCTCGACAATTGCGTCAGCCAAGTCTGTAGGGGCCAAAAGGGTGCTATGAAAATCACTGTCATGCCCTCCATTGATATCTTCTCCAGCGCCCTTGGAATAAGAGGAAGAGGAGGAAAAGCGCAGAGTAATTGGTGACGACTCCAGTTGAGTAGGAAAGCATCTCCCAAGGAGTTCATGCCGACACCTGTCCGCGAACAGTAACGACGGCACTTTTTGTTGTGGAGAGAGGCAAAGAGGTCTATACTCAGGAACCCCCAGAGATGGAAAAGATCACGAACAACTTTGTTGTGTAACTCGTGTTGAGGAAGGAAGTGCCTGCTGAGGGCATCGGCGATGACATTGTCCTTGCCGGGAAGGTATGATGCGATAAGGGTTATACCGTGCCAAAATGCCCAGTTCCATAGTCATATAGCCTCTGCACAAGGGGGCATGAGCGTGCACCACCTTGCCTGTTGATATAGTACACTGTGCATATATTGTCGGTGAGAATGCGAACTGTAAGACCTCAGATCATGTGGAGGAAGTGCCTTCAGGCGTTGAATACAGCTCGCAACTCAAGGAAATTTATGTGCTGTAGGGATTCCTGGGGTGTCCAGAGCCCTTGAACTCGATGTTCTTGCAGATGGGCACCCCAACCAATCAAGGAAGCATCCGCTGTGATCTGTACTGAGGGCTTTTGCCCGTGGAAGAGGACCCCTGCTAGAAGATTTTTGGGGCTGTCCCACCATGTTAGCGAAGTCCTGACGTGCTTGTGAATAAACACTGTTTCGTTCGTGCTGTGTACACCCAGTGTGTAAACAGTGAAAAGCCAGTGCTGGAGACCGCACAGGTAGAGTCTTGCATGTGACACCACATATGTGGTGGCGGCCATATGCCTGAGCAGCTGCAGACAGGTAAGTATGTGGGATCTGGGAGCAACTGATACAGTTTGAAGCAAATCCCGAATCAACTCAAATCTTGCTGTGGGTAAGTATACCCTAGCGCTCTGTGCATCACCCTCGTGCCGATAAATTCGAGGTTGTGACTCGGCGTCAAGGATGACTTGTCGAAGTTGATTATGAGACCCAAAGCGTTGAATACCGTCGTGGTAGTGGCAACTGCTCGGGCAGATTCATTGAAGGTAGGGGCCTTTAACAGGCAGTTGTCGAGATACGGGAAAATTGTGATATCGAGACAACGAAGGAAAGCAGCCACCACTGCTAAGGTCTTGGAGAACACCCGCGGAGCTGCTTAGAGGCCGAAGGGTAACACGCGATACTGGTAATATTCTGTGCTCACTACAAAACGAAGGAAGCGCCTGTGGGCCGAATGGATCGTTATATGGAAATAAGCATCCTTCAAGTTGAGGGAAGCAAACCAAACCCCTTTGTCGAGAGCAGGGATGATAGAGGCCAATGTAACCATCTTGAATTTCTGTTTCCGCAAGTGACGGTTGAGTCGACGCAGGTCCAGGATAGGTCTCCAACCCCCTGACTTCTTCTGGGTGAGGAAGTACCGAGAGTAAAACCCTCTCCACTGCTCCTATTGACAGTCGAGGGACACGAACCAATCCCCTTTGTCAAGAGCAGGGATGATAGAGGCCAATGTAACCATCTTGAATTCCTGTTTCCGCAAGTGACGGTTGAGTCGACGCAGGTCCAGGATAGGTTTCCAACCCCCTGACTTATTCTGGGTGAGGAAGTACCAAGAGTAAAACCCTCTCCCCTGGAACTGAGCAGATAAGCTCTCCATTGCTCCTACTGTCAGTAGACGAGAAACCTCTTGCTGTAGAAGAGTCTCATGAGAGGGGTCCCTGAAAAGGGATGGGGAAGGTGGGGGGATTGAGATGAAAGGAATGGCATATCCTGCAGCGACTATGTCGTTGACCCAACGGTCGGTGGAAATCAAAGACCAACGATGTTGATAAGGTCTCAACCGATGATGGAATAAAGCTTGCGGATTGTGTGGAGCCTCTGTCAAAGGGGTAATGCACAGTCCCTCAACCGACATGTCAAACTTGCTGCCGTCCCTGCTGGTGGCCAGGCGCCTTGTTAGATTGTTGTCTCCGTTTCTGTTGGTGCTGTCTTGGCCTTTGCTGCTCGTATAGTCTGGCACGGAATGACGCATAAGAGAAAGGTCTTTGCTTGTTATAGGGTATAAATCTCTTATGCTTATATGGAGGTGTATACATCCCCAGCATTCTCAACGTTGTACAGGAGTCTTTGCCTGAGTGGAACACCTGATTGGTGGATTGAGCAAAGAGTGACTGGCGATCGAAGGGTAAGTCCTCTACCTTATTCAGTAAATCTTTCAGGGTAGCAGCTTGATGCATGCAGCAGTTGCTGTGGCTTGAGCTGCTGCATCGGCAGCGTCCAGAGTGATCTGCAATGCTGTTCAGGCTGCTGTATAGCCCTCCTGTATTACCGCCTTCAGAATTTGACAATTTGAGTCCGGCAGATGTTCAAAAGAGGAATTAATTTCGAGTAATTATCGAAATCATGATTCACCAGGGAAGCCGTGTAATTGCACATTCTCAAAGCTGAAGTGGCAGAGGAATACACCTTTCTGCCTAAAATGTCTAGGCGTTTGGCCTCGTCATTTACGATATTTTTAGTTTGTGCTGTCTTGGACCGTTGTTGTGCGGCGGCGTTCATGACAAGGGAATTAGGCAGAGGGTGAGTAAACAAGAACTCCATGCCCTTCTGGTTTATAAAGTATTTCTTGTCAGATCGCTTGTTGGTCGGCAAGGAAATAGCTGGAGTCTGCCAGATGTCATAGGCAATTTCCAAAATGGCGTCGTCAAAGGGGCGTGCCAACTTCGATTTTTGCGAATGTTGCAAGTTCTTAAGTAATGGATGATGTTTTTGTTGAACATCCGTAGTCTGAATACTCTGAGACTGTGCAAGCCTCTTAAAAAGTTCTTGAAACTGATTATGGTCTTCTGTTGGAGATAGATCCCCGGGGAAAACTGTGTCATCTGGTAATAAAGACGAGTGGTTAGCAGGAGAATCAGGACTCTGAAGTTCCCGAGTTGGAGTGTGGTTGTCCTGCTGTCCCTCATGGGTCTGGACTGAAGCCGTGTCCTCTACAGGGGTTGGAGATGCTGCCAAAGGGTGGGGTTGCAATGGTGCAAGACATGGAGACACTGGTCTGCTGGAGCGCGGAGACCGTGAGCGCAGGTACCTTTGACGGAGAGAGTAATAAAGATCACCATAGTAATGGTCACAGTACCTACTATGATGGTATGACCCCCGGTGAATATCTCGGATAATAGAGCTTTGGAGTTCCATACCGACGTGAATATCGTGAAGGTCTTGAAGACCGTGATGAAATAGACCTCATGGAGTAGCGGGAGAGAGATCTAGAATAATGCGCTCGATAACACCATGGTGAATGACGAGGCCATCTGTAATAATGGTCCCTGGTCGGGCGATGGGCATGGTGATGGCTGTCCGCGTAGGACGAGGCGGGTGACAAAGGTGGAGGAGAAAACACAACACGGTCTGGGGTAAGAGATGGTGTCCAAGCCCTTCTTGACTTGTGTTGTGCGTTGGACGGCACCGAGCAATTCAGAGGAGAGGACAGTGCCGTCTGCAATGGGCTAGCAGGCAGTGAAGCAACTTGCATAGCCTGGCCGCAGTCTGAATGAAGAGCCGGTGCCGCTGGCTCAGCTGATTGCAGGGCCAAGGGCGGTAATGCTGGTGCCAAGGGCTGAAAGTTGACAGTACCCTCCTGCGGTACCGAGGCTGGTGCCAGGGCGTCCAACACAGAAGGGAGCGGAGATAAAGTCGCCGGCACCACTGCTGTGGGTGCTGGCACAGCTGCGCTCGTTTGCGCATGCGCTGAGAAACCCGGTGCCGGGGCAGCCATTGCCGGCTTCAAACCGACCGTTTGAGCCGTCGTCAGTGCCGATTCAGCCCTGGACCCCTTTGTAGAAGCCCGTATCGGATCCTAAGTGTGGGCTAGGGTAGGGGCAGAAGAGCTACGGCTCTTACCCGTTTTCTCCGTGGAATGCCTCGGCAGAACACCTGGGGTTCCCGGTCTGTCGGCCACACTAACCCTCAGAAAGGGTTTTAACAGCTCTGTGGGGAGTCTCTGTAGGAAGAATCTCATGTGTCCCTGAAGCAGCAGAGAATGGCTCAGGCATGTCGGAGGTCTGGAGGACTTTATTAAACAACAGCAGCCTCAGCTCCCGGTCACGCCTGGCGAGCAGTCAATTTCGTGCAATGAACGCACTTGGGAGGGACATGTCCGTCCCCGAGACATTTAATGCATTGCGAGTGCCCGTCTGATGCTGGCATGGCATCCCGGTACTGGGTGCACCTTTTAAAACCGGGTGATCCCGGCATAATTGTTCATTCAGACTTAGTGAACAACTCAAGGAAAAAAAGGTGGGTTTTTTTTGTTTGTTTTTTAAAACAAACAGAACTATACTACTAACTACTCTAAAACTAAGAAACTAAGAAGAGCAAGTAACTATCTAACACTAATCTCCCTTTCTCCTAGCAGGAGGGGGAGTGTATGTAAAGTCTGTCTGCGGCCACTTGAAGGAAACTGACAAGCCGACCCGCGCTCAGCTGAAACAGCGCAAGACAGCAGGAACGCATGCGCGGGCCGGCAGGGCTACTGCTAAGAAAGATTCTCCGTTTGTGGCGCCGGGACGAGCCCAGCACCTCGAGTGGAGCACCCTCGGGGACACTACTCGATGAAGAACACAATATTTAAGATTGTCATGATTTTGAAGTTGATTACACAATAGTTAAACATGACTCATGACTTTTGAGTGACTGGGGTGGACAATATTGCAAATTGTTCCAGCAGCAGCCTCTCTGTATGGCAGAATTATAGTGATAGAACAAAATAAGCAGGAAAAGAGCATTTCTTCCTCAAAGAAATTAGAGCACACATTCTTCAGTGAGAACTCTGTCCATGCCAATTTTCAAACTAGTTATTTTTGACAGAGGTAAACTTGTACAAGTGCTGTTATACTTTTCTTTTCTAAACAAAAAATACCCCCAAAACACACACAGGCTTTTTCAATATTACCATAACTAAAAAGTGGTTAGAATAATTCACTTCCGCTGAAATCAACCATGGAAAATTTAAGCCTGAAAGGCAAATGTTTCTGAAAATTATAAGTGTGAGAACAGAGGATCTCTCTACTGGAAACTGCTTTAGAAAATTTATCTACAAACACAACCAGTTCCAACTATAATGGAAATGGACATAATTTCCTGGTACAAAATTCACGTAACATTTAGTTTTCTAAGTACAGTAAACTTCCGATAATCCGGCACTTTTAGGACCCAGGGGGTGCCAGATTATCAGATATGCTGGACTATCAGAAGGGGAGGGAGCTATGAGGGGTCTGGGATGGGTGGGGAGGATGGCCCCCCCCTTCCAATAGTCTGGCTCTGCCCCAGGCATCCCCGATTCAGCCGCTACTGGTCAGTTTCAGCAGCAGTTGAATCGGGGACGCTTGGGGCAGAGCAGCTGGGATGCTGCCGGGTTGGTCCCGCAGCCCTGCCCCTCAGCGGTGCCGGACCAACCTGGCAGCACCCCAGGTGCTCTGTCCCAGGCGTCCCCAAGAGCAGCTCGGGTGCTGCCGGGTTGGTCCCACAGCCCCGAGGGACAGCACTACAGGACCAACCCAGCAGCACCCCAGCTGCTTTGCCCCCAGCTTCCCCGATCCAGCTGCTGGTCAGTTTCAGCAGCAGCTGAATCGGGGAAGCCAGGCGCAGAGCAGCTCCAATTGTCCGGCAGCCAGAGCACTTCCGGGTTCCTGATGGTGCCAGACCATCAGGAGTGCTGGAGCATTGGATGCCGGACCAATGGAGTTTTATTGTACAATTTTTACAAAAATATGGTCATATACAAAGTAAGTGATCATTATAAGCAAGGGTGTTATTTCAATTTAATTGTAAGACTGTGAGGTTTTTTTCCAAAATTTCTTTGCCTAACTTCTATTATTCACAATTTTACCTTTTCAAGCCACTGAAATTGCTGGTCCTCAGCCACATAGCAATTGCACTGACACAACAATACCTGAAAAGACAGAATTGTAAACAAATGATTCAGACAACTCAATTACAGTGCTTTTCTGTCTTGTATTTAAAAGATATTGACTATAGAGGAGCATGATGTTGACTAAACTCATTATATACTACTGCCATTTCCATCTTGCCATCAGTCTTCCTTGCACTGCACATAGTGGGCCAGATAGTCATCTGCTGTAAGTCAATGTAGCTTTATTACAGCAGCAAATGCCAACCAAGGATCTAGCCCAAAATGTTTACAGAGAACAACTATTAGTACTAGACTTTGAGGGTGGGAACTGACACTAGAAGTAGCCTTGAATTCCATAATTACTTAGTTTAGCTATGTGGCAGAGTTGAGTACCCTGAACTTCCTGAAACGCAACTCACATCTCAGCAAACATGTCAAGTAAGCTGTCAAATCAATGTTTTGATGTAGTAAGCTAAGGACTAAGGATGTTAAAAGGACTAAGGATGTTAAAATGCAGTTAATTGACTAGTTGATGTAATTTCCATCGACTAGTCGATAGGCACTTCCACATTCCTCCTTTGAAATATACAAGAGCCCCCGCTGATGGCGCTGTCACTTTGAAGTACCCGTTTCCCCCTCTCCCTCCCCACTCTTCTGCCTCTATTTTATAGAGGCAGCAAAGGAGGTGGAGGGGCAGGATATCGACTAGTCAAAATACTATCCAATAAGCAAATGCTTATAGGATAGTCGACTAGTCTTTTACATCCTTACTAAGAACACTGCAACCTTATTGACTTTCTTTTTTGAAAAGCATTCACTTTCTCCCTCAAAAAGGAAATAGATATGGAGTGAGTAATTTTTAAACGCATACATATTATGCCACTTACTGTGGGATCAGATATTAATTTGTAGAACAAACAGAAAGTATCTGTTGGAAGAACACTTGTTGTATTTGATGTTCTGCACCACTCATTCCACAATCTGACAGATCCAACGGCTTCCCAGCATCCAGAATTCAGAACAAAAGAGGACAAGAAAGCTGCAAACAATGTAAGTATTAGTTTATATATTTGTATAGTAATATCAGATATATGAAACATTCCCATTAAAACAAAAATCACTATTCTACACAGAACCTCTTGAAGTGGATTACTACAGGGGTTGGGTTTTTTTTTAGCAACTCTTTATCAATTACATTAAGATTGTGGCTGCAACTACAGGCAGTCCCCGACTTACGCGGATCCGACTTACGTCGGATCCGCACTTACGAACGGAGCTTTCTCGCCCCAGAAGTCGGGGCGAGAAAGCCCCGTTCGTAAACTGCTCCGGTGCCCCTGGTCTGCTGGAGACCGTCTCCAGCAGACCAGGGGCACCGGGCGGGTTCCCGCGCTTCTGAGGCTTTGCCAGCAGACCACAGGCACCCAGATTGAAGCGGCAGCAGCGGCGGTTCCCCGCGCCTCTGAGGCTTTGCTTGTGTGACTTCTTGCTGGCCAGAGTGGCAGCTGAAGTGTTTGTTGTGATAGAGGATGGACCCCAGACTTGGGCTGTAAGTAGCCTTATTTCTAAGCAATTCACCCTGATTTGGCCCTCTCAGTGGTGCTCCCAGACCCGGTTATATTACACATGTTCAGTGTAGGAAAGCATCCGAATGTTTTTGCACCAAACACCTCAGAAAGAAGTATTAGGCCCCGCTGCCGCTGCGGCTCTGCTCCCCGTGTCCCTGGTCTGCTGGGGGAGGGGGGGCGCAGCTAGTGTGCCCCCCCCCAGCAGATCAGGCTTTTGTTTTGGACCCTGGGGCAGAGCAGCTGGGGAGCTGCCGATTGGTCTGTATGGTTAGTTTCAGCAGCGGCTGAATCAGGACGCCAGGGGCAGAGCAGATGGGGTGCTTCTGGGTTGGTCCAGTAGCACCGAGGAGCAGCGCTACTGGAGCAACCCAGCAGCAACCCAGCTGCTCTGCCCCAGGTGTCCCCAAGTCAGCTTCTGCTGAAACTGACCAGCGCTGACTACAGGAAGCCCCAGGCAGAGTTGCTCTGCCCCGGGCTTCCTGGAATCAGCTGCTGATCAGTTTCAGCAGCAGCTGACTTGGGGACGCCTGGGGTTCTTAAGTTGATTCTGTATGTAAGTCAGAACTGGCGGTCAGTTTCAGCAGTGTCTGAATCTGGACGCCAGTTCCGACTTACATACAGATTCAACTTAACGCTGACTACAGGAAGCCCCAGGCAGAGTTGCTCTGCCCCGGGCTTCCTGGAATCAGCTGCTGATCAGTTTCAGCAGCAGCTGACTTGGGGACGCCTGGGGTTCTTAAGTTGATTCTGTATGTAAGTCAGAACTGGCGGTCAGTTTCAGCAGTGTCTGAATCTGGACGCCAGTTCCGACTTACATACAGATTCAACTTAAGAACAAACCTACAGTCCCTATCTTGTACGTAACCCGGGGACTGCCTGTACACCACAAACTCTTCACCCCAAAACTCTTCACCCCATAAATCTTAAATGTCATATTAAAAATCTCCTAATTAGTATAAATTAAATATACATTATATATGTTAAATACTTTCTGTATCACATAGAAAACTCTCTCATCAGATACTATAAACAGAAAAATTTTGACTTATTGGTCATTGAAGCACAGTAGATACTGTCTGTTAACAACTCCCTATACTGATCCTTGCCTCCCTATTTTTCTTAAGCCCTTACACTCTTTGGTAGCAATCAGGTGGGCAGAAATAAACATCTTCCTCCAAAATACATATGAAATGTACTGCATTAATTGATTGAAACTATAAGTTAGCATGTTCAGCATATTCTTTCCCTTCCAGATTCATCTCCCATGATTAGACACTCAAACAGAACATGCTCGTATGCAGATACTCCACCAGCCCATGGAGTCAGTGTTAAAATCATCTCAAAAATACACATCCCACATGGCAATAAAAGTCTCCATCACAGCGAGTATGATGCAATTTTCAATTCAAACCCAAGCAGTGTAAACAGTAGGAGTGCATTATCTATACTGGCATTTTGTCATAACAAATGAAGCAATTTTTCTTGGCTTGTTAATCCACAATATCATGGCTTTGGAATCAGCTTCTTCCTCAGTACCAAGACACAAAACAAGGATTCTGCTGGCTTTTGTCAAAAGTGAACTTCACAATTTACAGAAAGTGATCAAAAGTAGGGCTTGAAGAATTTAGCAGACATCTCCTTGCAAGAAACTACTTAATTAGAAAACAATATTAAGTGAGGAAGGAGGAGGAAGGGCACAAGTAAAATCCAAGGGCATATCCCTAGTGGAAAGCCAAATTCCATCCCTAGTTAATACAAAAGGAAAGTGCTAGAATTCCTAGTTGATACCACTCAATGTCTTTGCTCTCCAAGGCTTTGTTTAGGCTAGAATTTAAACAGGTTTCAGAGCGCACACCTTCAAAATTCTAGTTAAGACAAGGCAAGTTGTACTACGGTTATAAGCAACTAGTCCCTTGACTAGTCACTTCCCCTCCACCACCCCACTTGCTGTCTCTATTAGATTCTTCTCCCCTCCTCCCCCTGCTTGAAGCAGCAAAGGTGTAGGGGCGAGGGGGAGGGATACTTCAATGCGGCAGCGCCGCTCGGAGCCCATACTCAGGCTCCATACAGCGCTGCCCCTTTGAACGTCATTGCAGCATTTAAAAGCAGTGCCGCATAGAGCCTGGGGTCAGCTCCATGCAGTGCTGCTGCTTAGAAATGCTGAGGAGACATTCAAAGGGGCAGCACCGCACAGCCCCCGCTGTGGACTCTTGTACATTTCAAAGCTGGCATGCATGTACAGCCCATAGTCAGCAGGACTTCCCGCTGGCTCCGGGCTGCATGCTGAGTTCTGCATTCCTCCTTTTAAATGTACAAGAGCCTCAACCTATTAACTAGTCGAGTAATCGATGGAAATTTCATTGACTACTTGACTAGTAAATTAACCAAAATTTAACATCCTTAGTACAAGCAGGGAATCAGCTGATTTCTGGCTCACGCCTAGTCCCAGATGCTGCGCCTCTGCTTTTTAAAGTTAAGAGCCCGAAGACTCTTAATACATTTAAAAGGCTGGTGCACAGTAGGGGACGGGGACCCTGCCGGCTCTTAATACATTTAAAAGGCAGAGCCACAGCGGGGCTAGCTCTGAGGGTTGGGAGCTAACCCCGTTGTGGCATCCCCACTTATCGACTAGTCGATGGAAATTCCATCAATTAGTTCAGTGTTTCTCAACCAGTGATATGACTATTCTTAGGGGTACTCGAGAGAAGTTTGGGGAGGTACACCACACAACTGAAATTTGGGGAAAACTGAATTTGTGTTTTAAGTTTTACAGCGCTTTATTATGTTTGTATTTTTTACACCCAAAAATTTCATCACCTGCCCGACTACGATTAAGTTGTTTAAACAAATGTGTTGCAATGGTAGAAAAAAAAATGTTTGTGTCTGAAAACTGTAGGTACTGTGAGTACTACATTTTTTCTTTTTTTAAAGGGGTACTTTATGAAAAAAAGATTGAGAAACACTGGATTAGTTGATTAAACTAAGTGTAACATCCCTAAGCTGTACTTTAGGGCATGCTAAACAAGTCAACTAAAGCCTTGGGGGTGGGTGGCGGGGGAAGCCACAGAATTATCTTAACCATTTTAGGAAGTACTAAAGTACAGCTTAGCTTGTCTTCACTAGTTCTAGAAAGTGTGAGTTAGATTATGTTAGTTCTCACACACACACACCCCATCTTTAAATCCCAGCTCAAAACCAGATTTAAATAAAGTTGAGAACTTTAAGTGCCAATCAGCTCCTGGGCTGCTAGGAGTTTTTCCTACCAATTCCTGGCTGTGAGTACTCAGAAGACTGCAAGAGAGTTGTCTTCATTATTCTGTTACCCTTCTGTTCCCAAAACAGATTCTTTGTATTCCCGTATAAAAAGCTAGTGCATGCATTTGCTCATATTCTTAGCTTCAGAATGGCAGACTGAAACTGACAATGATGAAATCATCTTTTTGGTATGATTGCATTTTTTTTTAAAGTGTCAGATGATTACATAAGATAGATGCATCTTTAAAAAATGTATTTTCAAATGATACCATCGGCAGATACTGGGGAAAAAACACACTTGTGGTTTTTGTGGTTTGTTTTGTTTTATTTGCAGGAAGGGCTTTCTATTTTCCAGGTAGCGCTAATGGGGATATATGTCAAAGAACCCACCTTCTTTAGATCACAGGATACGTATCCAGTGCTGGCAGTTTAATAAAATAAATACACTCTCAGCACAGCAAAGCTACATACAACTACAGAAATAATGGAGCTGTTTACAGAAAGACTCATCATTACCCCAGTTTACATTTGAAAGCTCTCTTCACCAACATCAGGTCTAAAAAAAGTTTATTTCTCAAATGAAAAACTGAAATAATTAAAATCCCTTCAGAGCATGGTCAAAATGTCTCCTGTAGGAGAACTGCAATTCTCTACCATTCTGCCAGACATCCAGATTGCTGCTATCCTTTTCATAAAAGAAAATTAACCAGTCTTGGAGAGATCCAAACCAAAATCAAACATGTCTCCAAACAGAGAAGCACTATCCTAGCACCCACACACCTTCCTTCTATGGGCTGACCCTCCCAAATCTAGGTCCCTCGGGTCCAGCAACATCCATGGTCCAGAAGAAAGGACCACAGATGTTGCTAGACAAGAGAGCCCTGGAGGGAAGGAGCATGAGTCCCCCCACAGGTACTGGGGAGCTGGTCCTGTGGTGGGTAGGGAGTCCACTCCTGGGGAGCCTAGGGCTGGGGAGCCCTGTGGGGCTGAAAGGAATCCCCAATCCCAGCTGGGAACCCAGGCAGCAGTGAGCCAGCGGGGCTGTGGGGAATCCTCAGCTGGAACCTTGGTGGAAGAGGGCCAGCAGGGGGAATGACAGACAGAAGCAGGGTCAGCAGCGGCTGGCAGAGGGATGGCCAGCAGGACTGGGGCCAGCAGTGGCTGGGCAGGGGGATCCCTGGCCCCAGGACAGAACCCCAGTGGCAGCAGGAACCCCGGCAGAGGGACCAATGGTGGATGGGGAATCCCAGCCCAAGGAAGCTGATCTTGGGCATCCTGGCATGGGGCCAACAGCAGGGAGGGAAGCCCAGGCTCTGGGGACACCCACAACCAAGAGAGTAGCCTTGACCTCCTCTGGTCCAGCAAACTCCAAGGGTGCCAGACCAGGGAGATCCAACCTGTACTACAATTTATGGATATTGAGCAATGGGAGAGAATAAAACAACTGTATAGAGTTTCTAAAAAAAAATGTTCTCAATTTGGACCACTTACCTACAGCATTATGTCCTATAGCCATTATAAATTTAGAGCAAGGAAACTGCTCATCTGTAAAGTTTCCAGTAGATGCATTTAACTTCGAACTCCAAAGGACATGGACCTCCCTAGCGTAAGAAAAAGAAACAGGTTTAATGCAAACAAATCAAACAATGTATGAAAACACAGGGAGGGAACTGTCAATAAGGTTAGATCCATTTTCCTCTCTGAGATCTAGAAAGAGAATACAAAAATAGTTTGTGTGTGACTCAGCCTGTGTTACAAAAGAAAGCCAAAACAGAGAACAAAAAAACAGGTTAAAGAATATGTGGATAAATTTATTGAAATCAGAAGGACCCGATTAAATTCACCCTAGGGCATTTAAAAAACTAGCTAGAGCAGGGGTGGCCAACCCGTTAAGAGTCAAAGAACCAAAAAAGCAGTGGACAGAGTGCAAAGAACCACATACCGGGGTGGAAAACACACAACCAGCCGCACCAGGGGAAAACAGGTGCCGGTATGAGGTCCCAGTGTTGAGGTCAGGTGGAGAGTTGGGGTGCTGAGCAAACTGCAGGCTTGTGACTGTGAGGGTGCGGGAATTTGGGATGGGGTGCATGAGGGGCTCAGGACAGGGAGTATGATGGGCTCAGGACACAGATTTGCAGCGTGTGGATGGTGCAGGAGTCTTGTGGCAGAAGACTGGGGATATGGGAGGCTCAGAACAGGGGGTTCCAAGTGTATGACAGGCTCAGATTTGGGGTCTGGGGAGTGCAGGAGTGTTATGATGCTGCGGCAAGATGGGGGCTTGGCCCCAATTGGGGGCTTGTTGACCAGGCTTCATTTTAAAATAAAATATTATGTCAGACACAATGTGTTTCAGCACTGTCTTTATTTATGAGAGGGGCAGGGAACCTGTTTTGAGTCAGGGGTCACTGACTCACAGAAAAGTCATTTGGGGCCACACAAGTGAGACGCAAAAATCAACTCCTCCAAAAAACCTCAAGCCTCACTAATGTGACCCCAACTGTGCTGGTGGGGGCAGGGGACAGAGTGCTGGGGCAAGGTGCTGAGGCAGGTGGGTGGGGGAGGAGAGACACAGATAGCTCGGCCGGTACCTGGGGATCCCAGGTCTAAGGAAATGTGCGGCCTGTTCTTCCCCTCCCCTAATAGCTGGCGCGCTTCCTGAAACACCAGGTCTGTCACTGTGCCAGGGACGTCCTCCTCCTTGCTGCCTGCTTGCACAGGGTGTATGTGTGTGTGTGTGTGTGTGTTATGTGTTAAGCTAGAAGCCAGGCTGTATGTGTGTGTGTGTGTGTTTTATGTGTTAAGCTAGAAGCCAGGCTGTGTGTGTAGTGTTTTATGTGTTAAGCTAGAAGCCAGGCTGTGTGTGTGTGTGTTATGTGTTAAGCTAGAAGACAGGCTGTATGTGTGTGTGTGTGTGTGTGTGTGTGTTACGTGTTAAGCTAGAAGCCAGGCTGTATGTGTGTGTGTGTGTGTGTGTGTGTGTTACGTGTTAAGCTAGAAGCCAGGCTGTATGTGTGTGTGTGTGTGTGTGTGTGTGTTACGTGTTAAGCTAGAAGCCAGGCTGTATGTGTGTGTGTGTGTGTTTTGTCCCCCCCCCTCTAACCCAGTCCCCATCTCCTCCTCCAAAGGCAGGCACTCCTCCTCGCTCTAACCCAATCCTCCTCCCCACAACCTTATGCCTGGGTTCTGGAGCCAGAATTAGAACTGCTGACACCACTGCTACTGCCATGCGCATTTCCCCAAGCACTGGGGCATATGCTCTGGGGCCGTGTCCACACTCAGGGTTTTTTTCGGGAAAAGTAGCCTTTTCCCGAAAAAACTTCCCCTGCGTCCAGACTCAAGCCGCGTTCTTTCGAAATTATTTCGAAAGAACGCGGCTTTTCTTTCGATGGCGGTAAACCTCATTTCATGAGGAAGAACGCCTTCTTTCGAAAGCTCCTCTTTTGAAAGAAGGCGTTCTTCAATGTAAAGAGGCCGTCTTCGAAAGAGAGCATCCAGACTCGCTGGGTGCTCTCTTTCGAAAAAGCGGATTTCTCTTTCGAAAGATCCGCCTGCAGTCTAGACGCGATCTTTCGAAAGAGGCTCTTTCGAAAGAAGCCTGCAGTCTAGACATAGCCTGAGTGGCTAGCTTTGAGCATGTGCTGTCCGGGATGCCATGCACACCTCCCCTCCACACCCAAACCAACGCCCCTCCCCTTCCCCAGAGCCAGACACTTCCCTTCCCCGCTGTAACCCAATCCCCCTCCCGCCAACCTTATGCCCGGTCCCAGAGCAGAGCCGCAGCCGCTGCTTCCCAGGTGCTGGGCAGGTGTGATGAGCAGCCGGCTTTGAGCATGTGCTGGCAGGGATGCCATGCGCTCCCCTCCCCCGCCCCCAGCCCGATACCCCTCCACTTCCTTCTCCAGAGCCAGGCACATATACAATGAAACATATCACACCCTGGCATGGAACACCTCCCCCCCCATGACAGGGCCCCCTAGGTCCGATGGACCACTCCCTGTGCAGGGGGTGGTCCCTGTGCAGAGAGGGCTGTGGGGGGATGCAGGAGAGAGCAGGGAGGCTAACCTGCAGGCTGCAGCCATCAAGAGTCAATGAGTAGCACAAACACTGGCTGGAAGGCTTCAGAGGAGTATGGGGCAGCTTCACAGCTGGCTGAAGAAAAGCGGTGCTCTGAAGCAGGAAAGCACCACTTCTCTCTGGCTGCCAGCCGTGCTCCTCTGAAGCCTTCTGCTGGCCACCACTTGGTGAGAGGTGGCTACCCAGAAGCGAGGGGAAGAGCATTCAGCTGGCCAATGGAACTGTGCCCCTCCTCACCTTTCTACAGAGTCAATATAATGATTTTCTGTTGATATGCATGTTAGTAGTTAAATTCCTGGACTGCCATTGCTCATTAAAAGTGCTGTCAGATGGGTGGAAATCGGGTGACTATTGTATTTTATACACATGTATCCGCAGAACGGACTTAAACGGGGCTCGCGCGTTGTGCAGTCTGGCCTTAATCCCTGCAGTCATGCGGGGCAGCGTGAGGGAAGCTATTCGCATGGAAATGCAGCCACACGTTAGTCGCGGCCCTCGGCACGTGCTGCCTCCTCACTGGGGCCCCGGGGCTGCCAAAGTTGAGCAGCCCATTGTATTTTATACACATGTATCCGCAGAACGGACTTAAACGGGGCTCGCGCGTTGTGCAGTCTGGCCTTAATCCCTGCAGTCATGCGGGGCAGCGTGAGGGAAGCTATTCGCATGGAAATGCAGCCACACGTTAGTCGCGGCCCTCGGCACGTGCTGCCTCCTCACTGGGGCCCCGGGGCTGCCAAAGTTGAGCAGCCCTGGCCTGGCGGG